TTTAACTTTTTGTGCGTATAAATATGCACATAAAACCTTTGCTTTACCATCAACACAAACACTAGCTAGAAATATTAGCATTGGATTTATTTATCCTTTTTCATTTGTAAAACAATTTGTTCTGTTTTTTCTATAATATCATATAACCAATCGAGGGTTTTCTGCACAAGAAATACTAGTAATGGGGAGTGATTACTTTAAACAAATGTCAATTGCGTTGTTTTTCTTGCTTGCCGTCCCTGCTACTGTGGTTCTACGCCAGAAAACACAGGTTGGATTCTATTCAAGGTCATGTCCTAGGGTCGAAGCCATCGTGCAATCCGCTGTGAAATCTCAATTTAATTCGAATCCCACAGTTGTACCTGGATTGTTCAGAATGCACTTTCATGACTGTTTCGTACAAGGTTGTGATGGCTCTATCCTTATTAATGGTGACGGTACTGAGAAAATGGCCGGACCAAATCATTTGTTGAGAGGATACGAAGTTATTGATGATGCTAAGACTCAACTTGAGGCTGCATGCCCTAGTGTTATTTCTTGTGCTGACATTCTTGCTCTTGTGGCTTGCGATGCAGTTATACTGGTAAGTTAATTTCTCCGTTCATTTTTTGGATTTTATCATTCGTAGGAGCTGAGAAAACAGCCTGTTTTAAGTTTTAACTATATTTTTTACCCATAAATCCAATGAAATGATGCCATGTGGCATTCTGTTAAAATCCGTGTAAATTTTCTCTGTACATATAGCATTGTTCTCAATTTTTAATGATCAATAGTAGTGATAGGACATGCTGCATAATGTGTCAGTATTATGAATTATCGGCATTCAATATGTGTTGTACATGAACTCACTATACATACTTTAAGATAAGTACATGTATTTTAATCCTTAGGCAATAAGACATGTTATTGTCTCATACTGTCATACATATCAAACACAGATATGGACACAAATACGCTTGACACTCATCGAACTAATTGGCTATTTGATTGTTGATGCAGGCTGGTGGACTAGGATGGGCCGTGCCTACAGGAGGGAGAGATGGGCGGGTTTCATTAGCATCCGATGCTTCGAATCTTCCGGGCTTTACGGATTCCATTGACGTTCAAAAACAGAAGTTTGCAGAAAAAAGGTCTCAATACTCAAGATCTTGTCACCCTTGTCAGTAAGCCCATAATAGTATTAATGAAATCTTGTTCACTATATTCTACGGTCTGTAATTTTAATGAAATCTTGTCACCCTTGTCGGTAATCCCAATGTTTAAGTCGCTAAGTTGCTTTTTTTTTTTTTATAGTATCGAAGCTAACTCAAACATCATTGCATGAATATATAGGGGGACATAACATTGGCACCTCAGCTTGCCCGTTCTTCAGATACAAATTATACAACTTCAATTCAACTACCGGCGCTGACCCTTCCATTGACTCCGCATTTCTTCCTCAACTTCGGTCCCTTTGTCCGGAAAATGGTGACTCTTCCAAGAGGGTAGGGCTCGACGGCAGAAGTGAAAACATGTTCGATAACTCGTTTTTCACCAATATGAGGAATGGCTGCGGAATTCTTGAATCAGACCAGAAGTTATGGACTGATGATTCTACAAAAACATTTGTGCAACGTTTCTTAGGAATTAGAGGACTGGTTGGATTGACATTTAGTGCTGAATTTGGGAAGTCCATGGTTAAAGTGAGTAATATTGAGGTTAAGACAGGGACTAATGGTGAAATTCGAAAGTTTGTTCTGCCATTAATTGATGCAAATTAAGGTCTATTTTATTAGGTTATGGAATTTGTGTAAGTGTATTTTATTTTTTATTTTTTAATGAGTTTGTTCATTTCAGTGCAAGCCGATGTTCATCGAAATATATTAAAAATAATAAACTAGTAATTTCTATTATATGTAGATGCATGTTTTTTCTATGGTCAAGCTTGAATGACATCTTTAAAATCATCATGTCAAGTTACGGCAATCAATGAAATGAACAGCTCAACCTATTTGTTTAAAGCTTTGCCAGGAAGCTTCTACTTGTTGAAGCTTCGTTCCCATCGAAAGTAACCTATTATGGTCATTTATTTCATTCAATACACTTTTCAAGATTAGACATGACAATTGATTGAATGTTTTTATCGAAAGTTTAAATATTCAAATTCTGCTACACATGTAAGCGGGATTCAATATTGGGATTTGAATAGATTATAAAATTAATAAAATTTGGTACAATGGAATAGGGAAATTTACAAAATGCACCCTGCATTTAGGATGCATTCATAATTTGCATACCATATAAGCTAAAGAAGATGAGAAATGGACGAACACTGAAGAAAGTGAACATTTTAGAGTACCACGAGAAGGTCGAGGACCAACTTTCATGTTCTCAATATATGGAGGACAAACTTAAAAATAACTAAACCCCATTAATCTAAGTCTAAACTGAAAATCTAAATCCAATCCCCCTCAAACCACACCCTGACTACTCCAAATTCATAAGGGCAACTTATGAAATTTCCCAATTTGGGCAACTTACAAAATGCCCTTCAAATTAGGGGTATTTTGAAAAATCATATGAAAGGTTTTTTGAAAGTAAAAATATTGTGTAATATTAAAAAGTTATACAATGTCAATTTTTTTTTAAAAAAATTGTCACTTTTTAATAAAAAAAAAGTGACACAATGTCACTTTTAAAAGTTAAATGTCACTTTGTTATTAAAAATAACATACAATATCACATTTATTAAAAAGTTATGTTTGTCACTAAAAAAGTGATAGAAATCTAGAAGATGATTGAAAACAGTGACAAACACTAAAAAAAAAGTAACGAAAATTCAAAAAAAGGTGACAAATACTAAAAAAAAGTGACAAAAATTCATAAAAGTGAATTCAAAAAAATGACACAAACTAAAATAAGTTACGCGTGCTAAAAAAAGTGATAAACACTTAAAAAAAGTGATGAAAATTTAAAAAAGGTGATACAAATTCGAAACAATGACAAACAAACACTCAAAATTAAAAAAAAAAAAAATGGGACAGAAATTTAAAAAAAGTAGTTAACAATACATCAAAAATTACAAAGCTAAATTGCTTAACATGGATGAATACTAAAAAGTGATAAAAATTCAAAAAAGTTATAATAACTCAAAAAGTGACATAATCTAAAATATCCGATTAAGCTCTTTATTGTAATTACCCAAAAAAGTGAGAGTATGCTGTTTATTGTAATTACAAGGATAGTTTGAGGATACTGAGGAAAATATCTGTTATGTAATTAGAGTATCCTCCTACCATTTTCAGCAATACTAGAATGTACTTGCCAAGTGATATGATCACAAGTCGGATTTTTGACATTCTGTGAAAAGAACGATAATTGAAGACAGACAAAATGAACCCAGAATTTCAGAAATTGAGAAAAAATTATTCATCCTGACCCCTCCACGTATATATGCAGTTGTGTGTGAGTGCATGTGCATTATGAGTTAAGGGGGAAAGAGATTAATGGAACTAAAATTGCATTGAACCCAAATCATCAATTTATACGTCATTCTGCCAGCAAAATTTACAAGTTTAACTGTATCACGATTGCTATAAATTCTATATACACATAGTGATAAACTGTTCTTTCGATTTGATTTTACGGACTTCACCTTTACTGACTCGTCCTTCTTGGGAAGAACTATCACTCTAAATGTCTACACTGCTGCCAAAGTTGCTTCCATAGAAACAAGCCAGTATACATTTAAATGCTCCAATAAAGAAAGAAATATCAGATTAATTTGGAAGTTACCTGAACTTCAAAATTCTGAACTTTCATTTAGATTCAAAGCAATTAAACCAAAAATCCACAAAGCATAAACAATATACTCTAAAAATTTCAATCCTCTCCGACTGAGGTACACGTACCCACCCCCCAAAACTTCCCTATTCCACTTTGATCACAGAAAGTGAGGTTTCAAAGAAAGGCAAAAGAAGACCCCAAACATAGAAAAAGCACAAAATAATATCTAGACATGTAAACAATAAGTATGCATATGCAAAGTGAACTCTATGGCTTTGTCAACGAGTTCTTGCCGGCATCGTAGACTTGACGAAGGAGGGAAACGGGTTTGGTCTTGCTCATAGCCATTACTTGGATGTTTCATTTGAAGGATCTAAACAATTTGGGAGGAGAGAGCAGAAAAGCTTTGATGTGAATGGTTTGCGAGTTTTTTGGAATCGACGGTTTTAATTTGGGCTATGGGGTTTTAGACGTATTTAATACTTGATTAAATGTTTTAATTAATTTTAAGAGTACTGCTCGAAATTCTCATTTTTGGGGTTGGCTTAATTTTCCCAATTCATAACATCAACCCAAGCCCAAAGCGAACCCAAATCTGTAAACAAAGGAAACTAAAATCCAAACACCTTTGAACCCCGCACAATCCAAGCCCAAACTAAAGTCCAAAATCCATACCCAATTGAAACTAAAACCCAGGCCCAAACTGAAAACAAAATAAAACCCAAGCCCAATAAACTAGAAATAGTTATTATGTAAATAAAAAAAATGGTTAGCCTAAAAAGTAAAAACCATTGACTTACATGTCTATTACTACTATTATTATTCAGGTTGATCATATTCCTGATAATCACATTAATTTTGTTCGCCCCCTCAACTAGTTTTTGCTGACATCTCTAAAGGTAGTTTAAGAAACAAATTGATCATATTCTTGATAATCACATGATTTTTGTTCGCTCCCTCGACCCAAATTTGATCATATTCTTGATAAAAACATGAATTTTGCTCGCTCCCTCAACTAGTTTTTGCCAACGTCTCTAAAGGTAGTTTAAGAAACACCCATTAATTGAATATGTGACGATCTAACAAAGTGGACGACAGTAAAAAAAACACAATTGTAGAAAACAGAAAACTAATTACATAAAATTCCGAACAATATTATGCACAGTACATCTGAAGAACAAATAACAACTACAGAACAAAATTTCAGTACAATTGCTGCAGATTCTTCTTGATTTCTATACAAGAGCTACTTCTTCCCTTCTTGGTATTGCGGTGGCTTTGCAGATGGGACATACATTTTTTTGACACAACCACCTCGTAATGCAATCGACATGATATTCATGTCCACACGGAAGGCGTCCAATGCTCTCATCGTCTTCGTACTCGCATTGGCACACCACACAGATTTCAGGCCCTTCGTTTGTGGGTTTTGCCTCTTCCGAAGTAGCGAACTTTCTTGTTTTTAAATGTCGGAGGATAGTTTCTTGTGAGAAACTGGTCCGGACCAAATGATCACGAGAGATGTTGGTAGACAAATTTGATCTCCGATGCTCGATAAAATCAGACTCATTCCATACTTCGACTTCATCATATGAACCTTGCCATGTTCGATTCAAGCGTCGGTAGTTTTCTTGAACATGCTCCCTGGATCGTCGTCGTCGAGGAACATGCTCGTAAGTTAAAGGAAACTGATAATTTCTGCCTTGTGACTCAACCCAGTAGTTTTCTTGCATTATGGTGGTATAACCGGGAAAGTAAGTGAAAGTAAGGGTAAAATAGAATGGTTGGATGGGTTGATTCTGAAAATTATACGCCATAGTAATTGACGGTGAGTGTATTTTAAGCAAGAAATTCTTGAAATATCAGAACTGATGAACGGATTGTAAAGAAAATATGAAATTGTTGAGAAGAGAAGGGAGGGTGCTGCCTTATATAGAAGCGGGAATAAGTTGTAAATCTTTCCGGGAAAAGGAAATAAACTGTGAGTCAGTCTCGGAAAGGAAAGTACACAAAAAGGAAACAAATTTTGAGTGAATCCCGAGATGGAAGAAAATCAGATTTCTAACGTTAATTTTCTCTTCAAATTCAAATAGATATGGGTTTTGTTTTGAGACTTACCATAAATTTACTTTAAATAGATATGGAAAGGAAAGTGCTGACTTGTTATAACTGTTGATGGAAGAATAAACCGATTATAACGTTAACTTTTCCCTTCAAATAAATACGGGTTTTGTTTTGACTTCTGAGACTTAGAACCTGTTTGAACCACATTATAATGAGAATGAGAATGAGAAATTGAGCCGTTATGGGCCACACACCAGATATAGAAATTAAAAAATGATGGTTTGATGTGATGAATAACGATCATATTTTTCATTTTAATGAGGTAAAAATGTGGCTCAAACAGGAGCTTACCATAAAATCTGGTCTGTCAATTGTGGTATTTAACTTTTTAACTCCGCGTGATTGATAAGCTGACTCTTCTTCATTAAGTTTCAGTTTCAAACTTAATTAAATGTCTGAGAACTGAATTAATTAATTATGTCATAAAAAGAGGATTATTAAACTTTTAATTAAGCTTAACTACAAGCTTGAGTTCATTTATATAAGCCATTGTAAAATTGTAATAGATAGCTTATTTCAATTCCTTATTACACTTTTTGCCCTTACTTTATATAAACTATTGTAAAATTGCAATCCTAATCTAGATGATACTAAATGATTTGTTAAATGAAATGTGAAATTATAGGAATTATTTAATTTTAACTATTTGCCAACGTCTCTAAAGGTAGTTTAAGAAACACCCATTAATTGAATATGTGACGATCTAACAAAGTGGACGACAGTAAAAAAAACACAATTGTAGAAAACAGAAAACTAATTACATAAAATTCCGAACAATATTATGCACAGTACATCTGAAGAACAAATAACTACAGAACAAAATTTCAGTACAATTGCTGCAGATTCTTCTTGATTTCTATACAAGAGCTACTTCTTCCCTTCTTGGTATTGCGGTGGCTTTGCAGATGGGACAGACAATTTTTTGACACAACCACCTCGTAATGCAATCGACATGATAGTCATGTCCACACGGAAGGCGTCCAATGCTCTCATCGTCTTCGTACTCGCATTGGCACACCACACAGATTTCAGGCCCTTCGTTTGTGGGTTTTGCCTCTTCCGAAGTAGCGAACTTTCTTGTTTTTAAATGTCGGAGGATAGTTTCTTGTGAGAAACTGGTCCGGACCAAATGATCACGAGAGATGTTGGTAGACAAATTTGATCTCCGATGCTCGATAAAATCAGACTCATTCCATACTTCGACTTCATCATATGAACCTTGCCATGTTCGATTCAAGCGTCGGTAGTTTTCTTGAACATGCTCCCTGGATCGTCGTCGTCGAGGAACATGCTCGTAAGTTAAAGGAAACTGATAATTTCTGCCTTGTGACTCAACCCAGTAGTTTTCTTGCATTATGGTGGTATAACCGGGAAAGTAAGTGAAAGTAAGGGTAAAATAGAATGGTTGGATGGGTTGATTCTGAAAATTATACGCCATAGTAATTGACGGTGAGTGTATTTTAAGCAAGAAATTCTTGAAATATCAGAACTGATGAACGGATTGTAAAGAAAATATGAAATTGTTGAGAAGAGAAGGGAGGGTGCTGCCTTATATAGAAGCGGGAATAAGTTGTAAATCTTTCCGGGAAAAGGAAATAAACTGTGAGTCAGTCTCGGAAAGGAAAGTACACAAAAAGGAAACAAATTTTGAGTGAATCCCGAGATGGAAGAAAATCAGATTTCTAACGTTAATTTTCTCTTCAAATTCAAATAGATATGGGTTTTGTTTTGAGACTTACCATAAATTTACTTTAAATAGATATGGAAAGGAAAGTGCTGACTTGTTATAACTGTTGATGGAAGAATAAACCGATTATAACGTTAACTTTTCCCTTCAAATAAATACGGGTTTTGTTTTGACTTCTGAGACTTAGAACCTGTTTGAACCACATTATAATGAGAATGAGAATGAGAAATTGAGCCGTTATGGGCCACACACCAGATATAGAAATTAAAAAATGATGGTTTGATGTGATGAATAACGATCATATTTTTCATTTTAATGAGGTAAAAATGTGGCTCAAACAGGAGCTTACCATAAAATCTGGTCTGTCAATTGTGGTATTTAACTTTTTAACTCCGCGTGATTGATAAGCTGACTCTTCTTCATTAAGTTTCAGTTTCAAACTTAATTAAATGTCTGAGAACTGAATTAATTAATTATGTCATAAAAAGAGGATTATTAAACTTTTAATTAAGCTTAACTACAAGCTTGAGTTCATTTATATAAGCCATTGTAAAATTGTAATAGATAGCTTATTTCAATTCCTTATTACACTTTTTGCCCTTACTTTATATAAACTATTGTAAAATTGCAATCCTAATCTAGATGATACTAAATGATTTGTTAAATGAAATGTGAAATTATAGGAATTATTTAATTTTAACTATCAGTTAATGTCATATTATTGCCATCTAACTTGAGATTGCAATCCTAGCGGAGCTAAATGACGTTACTCCAAAAATAAAGTTAACCACCTTTTTTCACGCCTTCACCATATAAAAGGCTTTTATCCCTTCTTTTAAGCCTACATCCTGCCTTTTCCCTTCTTTTAAAATACTGATGATAATGCAGGCTAGTTAGTGTAATCAATAATTTTCAAATTTAGCCCCTATTTGATTTCCATTCTTCCAAAAATTCATTTTTTCAAAATTTATTTTTAATCACATGTTCTTTAATGAAATAATATTACATGTAAATCAAAAAAATTTCTTTAATTTTTAATAACAAATTCTCGATCAATCTACTATTCAAAATGCATAATTTCGCTCAAAATGGGAATCAAACGAGGGCATAATAATCCAGTTTGTCTTTCACACTGCACACAATCTGGATTTTGTCTTATATTGAAGTTGGACAACTTGTCATGGTCGAAAATGTCTGGAAAGGATCAAGAACATAAACAAGAACAAAAGCTACAACAAAATCCAACACTCCTTTTCTTTTTTTACCAACACCCTGTCTACACCTATAAATTAAAGAGGGAGGGTGAATTTGCCCAACTCCTCAATTCAGTACATAACTCCTAAAACAATGAGTGAACTTGTCCTAAATGAGAAGATTAAGCCTTTTACCTTGCAGCTTTGACGTGAAGATGTTGAAATTGAAGAGCAAATATGAAGAATGTAAGCCTCTTAGATTGATCTTGGGGTTTTGGATGAATTTCATGTGGTGGTTTAAAAAAATAAATAAATAAATAAAATCACAAACTAATTCTTGCTGAGACAAGGACAAGCTGCAAATGAAGTTCACACACTTTCTACTTCGATATACTAGTAGAAGAAAAAAATAAAATGCAATAATATAAAAGCCCCTACAAGATTCAAGCCTCGGTCATTATATTTGATATATTGTGGAGAGGAATTTATGTTAGCTATGAACTATTGCAGCTGCTCAATAAGATATCTTAATGAGTAATCATCCTGCAACCTCCCACCACCACAATGTGAAGTTATAAAATGCAATTTGTTACCAAGTCACTTTGCAGGATGAAGTGATTTGCAAAAGCATCACACAATCTTGGAATGACTAATAGATGGACGGACAAAGGATCCACAAGCACATTTCTTTATCCTCGACAGTCGTCCCATCCATTACACTGACCTCACAAGGCAAAAGTTGGGTGAAGAATTGAGAAGAGGCCATAGTCAAGTTCATATATAAGTCATCACTAGATTGATCATTTAAGGAACTGCAACAAACCTGAGACTAGTGCTTCGGATATCAAATATGGAACTCTGAAGAGAAAATGGAAATTCAGAAATCTGATAAATCCTCCCAGAATTCTAACATCTGGAAATTGAAGGTACACCACAATGTTTTTATTTGGAACCATCATTAAACAATAAAGCATTCTTCTTCTTCAATGACATGGTTTAGATTTCCATGTTTTCTTTCCTTTTTTCTATTATATATATTACGCCTCAACTGGTGCGACTTCAAAAATCCTATGTGGTAGGTGAAATTGGGCCGGCATTCAGCCCAAGAGGTGGTATGGCAGAACCCCGTGAAGAGGCCTAACCTATGTGGAAAGGCAAACCCCTTTGCAGAAGTCGACCCCATATGGGGAGTCAAACCCTCATAGTAGGGCGAGGTTGCAAGGGGTTTAGCAGGAGATCTTTTACGCAATCGTTAGTAAGTGATTGATGTGTCAATTCATTTGTTACCATCGCCCCTATTTAGCCAATTAGGTCGAAGTCTTGTCTCAGACTTTTGGGCAACAAAATAATATTAGCATTAAATGCCTATGATTGATTGATACATTTGACAAGAGGCTACTGCATGGATAAGGCAATGTATACTTTCATCTTATAGTTAGTATCCATCATATTCTACTATAAAAGCTTACACAATGTCCCTTTCCAAAGATAATGCAAATTCAGACTCTCAAACTATAACTTTTTGCTATACTTACTGTTACTATGTTCCCCCAACGCTGAACCCATTTTACGCAGGAGAGCTCGCATCTAAAGCATCTCCCACACTCATATACTTACAACTTCAATTGACTTGATTGTCGGAGTGGTGCAGCCAACTCTACTACTATTGGAGGAAACCATTTGTGGTTAACGGTTTGTCCTAGTGTGCACGAATCAAGCTTACGTGTGTGTCTTATGTCTTTACTGTTTGTTATAAATAGGGGGAAAAAAAAGAGTGGCGAATATATAAGTGGATTGTACTTGTTAGATCCTT